AGTGATTAGTATTCATTCAGGTTTGAGACATATTTCTCTCAATAGTTGCCATAATAGGGAACATTAAGTCATTTTCTGTTACCTTGCCTGCAAATGCCTGTTTTGGGCTAACCCGGTTTTTTTCAGTTCTCTTAGTTACTTCCTTGGTACTTCCACAGAAACCTTGCTAATCTAGGTGACCTTAGACTACCTCCACTGCTCCATTCAGTCCCAACTCAAGTAAGACTGTTAACCACCCACTGGCTTTTTAAAATTAATTACATCGACCTTTCGGACGCCATTTAATCCCTTTATTCCCCTCTAACAAAGCTCGCGTGTGTCAGTCTGCAGTGCTGCAGAATTCCCCCATACACTCCCTTTAATCCAAACAGACATGACAAAATGCACAGTGGACTCCAACACTCATCTGACAATCCATCCATGATCTGACCTTTCCAGCCCAACTGCCTGATCACGTTACGCTCAAAAAGGAGGGTGAGCAAAGCAGTACACATTACTGACTGGTACCCCACACTAATGGGATTATCAGGTTGTGATGAGTCCCTCACTGAGAGGCTTGATGGGGATAATGTGTTGGAAGCCATCAGTGAAGGAAAAGAATCGCCCAGGCTGGAGATCTTGTACAATATCAAACCTTTGTATAACTATGCACGCACTGGCTTCCTGCAGAAATGATATGGGATTTGGGATACAGTCAAGAAACTAAACACTTGAGTTCAGAACGCCATGCTTTGAGTTTTTGCGAGTTTATGATTTCTTGTGGTTTTGACGAGGGATTTGTTCTAACTCTGTGTTGGTTATGGTCTTCTGTTCATTCATATTCACCGATACTTTTTGGGTTTCTTTGTTTTTTGTTTCTTTAGTTTCGTGCTGAGTTTTGGATTATTTTGGGTTCACTAGTTCCCTTTTGTGATTCCTTTCTGTTCCTCCAGTCTTTTCTCTGCGGTTTTGTCAGCATGACATCAATTGTAATGACATATACCAAACTTAATTTCCTTTATTGGGATTGTCCTCTTAACTACTCTGTTTACATTTTTTCAAACTGAAGAGTATGAAATGCATAAATTGTATATCTCATATCTCAATTCTATATCTTCTATGCTCAATATATTTTCAACTTCTTATTTGAGAAAACAGGATGTTTTGTCGACACGTGTGCATAAACATAGTTCTTACTTCCATTTTTAAGGCAGAGTAAGAGGAAGTATGTAAAACAATAGTCCTGCCATAACACTCGGACAGTTTCATTGCAACCCCCTCAGAGTTGAAGGTTCCAGCTTTGTTTTATAATGCAGAGAGTACTTATGCAGGGTTTGCTTTTCTCATAGATGTATTCAGTGCATTGATGGAGTTAGGGTATGTGAACCATGATTTCCTTAGATGATTTTTCACATTTCCAGTAGAGTGCTTATATATGACCTCTCTGCATTGAATCACATCTGTTATTAACCTCTGTCTCTCTTCCACAGCATGTCTTTTATCCTGTCTTCCTTCTCTCACCCCAACCGGTCGCAGCAGATGCCTCCCTGAGCCTGGTTCTGCCGGAGGTTTCTTCCTGTTAAAAGGGAGTTTTTCCTTCCCACTGTCGCCAAAGTACTTGCTCATAGGGGGGTCATGTAATTGTTGGGATTTTTCTCTGTATCTGTGAAGCGCCTTGAGGCGACTTTTGTTGTGATTTGGCGCTATATAAATAAAATTGAATTGAATTGAATTGAATATGTTGCTTACTTAGGCTTTGCTGATGTGTGCATCCATTGCAACATAGGTATATCATTTACATCCTATGTTTCTTGATCATGATTCTTCTTCTATCCATGTTCGCCATCACTCCTTGTGCTTACTGAGAGTAATCAAAAGTAAGTGAAAAATTGCAAAGCCTCCAGTGTGCAGAGTCTGCATTGTTTAATTTAAATACATTCAGTGACATTCTGCTATTTACCACTGAAAACCTGTGTTATTACACATCCATTCTAAACACATTACGAGCCGTTTACGGAGAGAGATTTAAATTTGCATTGTTTTCATTTGTTTTCTTTATTCAAATACTGTAAGCGAGTTCTATTACGTTTGAGTCTGTCTGCTTTGATGGGTAAAAAAAATATATGTTTTTTGTTTTTGTCTAGAGGACATTGTTTCAACAGTTTCATGTTGTGGTAGTGATTTGCATCCATTTAGTATTTACAGTTTACACTCTTTCTTTATTGTTTATTTCTCTTTCTTTCAAAAAGCAAGCTTACGCAAACCTGCAAACATAAAAAGACGTCTCTCCTGCACACACTGTCAAGACCATGAAACAACAAAGCTCTCCCCACAGAAACCTCTGGTCTATTTTGAATTACTTCCTGCTTTTTTTCTTAAAATTTATATATTAAGACCATATGTGAAGGCTTTATTGACACTTGAAAGTTTTACCCCAGTAAAGAGTATTGCCTAGATTGTCTATAGATTGTCTATAGATTGCATAGGTAATTCCCCCAAATTACACCAGTTGAGGGAAAAAGATTCATTAACATTTGAGGATATTTCTTGAGATCGGTTCATTACAGCACACAAGCAAAAGCCTGCCTCACTTCTCTCTATGTCACTTCTATTTGTGTGGGCAAGTGGAAGTGAGTCACTTTATTTCCTGCTCTTGTGAAAACACCCTGTCTGTATCATCTACTGTTTGTTGTCAGTTTGCCTGAGGTTGACAGGAGGTTCAGCATTTGTTAATATTTTTCTATTATCTTTATTTTTTTTTTAAGATTAAATCCACAGTGTTGATATATGAAGAGGATGGAACCGTTTCTTATTGTTGTGTTATTAGCAGGAGGAACTCATGGTAAGATTGTCTTCATAAAAAACACCAAACATTCACATTTGTAGTGTGATTCTTATAAGCTCATGTTCTTTTGAATGCATCTTTTTCAGCTTTCTTTCCAGTTGATGAAACTACATGTGATCTCAATGCAAACAGATGTCCATGCTCTCCTCTTCTTAAAGGAACTGTGTATATCCAATGTGATGTGATGGCTAATGCTAGTGGCCGTGATGTGAAGTGTTTGAAGATGCTTCCCAGGGTGAACATAACTGTGTTTAATCTCAAGAAAGAAAAACTAATGATAGACAAGGAATTTAACAACAGACTACAGTTTATGAACGGGACACTCAAGATCACAAACGTGAAGAGGAATGATTCAGGTCAATACAGCATTGAGGTCTTTAATTCAAATGGAGTCCAAGAGAAAAACATTGTTTTCACCCTGGATGTTAAAGAAAATGGCAAAGTTGAAGGCAAGTTATATAATTTATTCTTTATTGCATAGTTTTGATGTTATTATAAAGATAATCAGACATGTAAACATTATGTGGCAGTAGAACTGTTAATCAGTATACATCACTTGGGCAACAAAATGATAGAAGATGAAATGACAAAAAATAAGCATATGCACAGAGCAAATGTACAGTGAACAGAATAGAACAGAACATTTGCTGATATATTATTTCTCTATCTATTGATGTTTCCAGTTATTTTTGCAACATGTGGACCGCTACTCATATTCATAAATTAATCATCTTTTATTTCCCAGTAATTACCACGTAAACTTAAAAGGCACACTGAAACTTTCCACTTGGTCATTGATTATTATTAGTTGCATTAAATTTAAACATTAAGGTGGGAAAAAGAAGCACTGTAGCAGATGATAAGAACACAAGTAAATCAGAAACCATTAAAAAGCAAAGAAGACACAAAGCTGAAGTTCTCAATAACTGGGTTCACAAAATAGGGTTGGAAAGAATAACAGATGAGAACAATAATAAATTGGAAACCTTTAAAAAGCAAAGCGCACTGAAAAAGATGTACTTGGAGTGTATCAACGTGGATTTCCTGACACCGAAATTGGGGTCAGTTAATAAAGTTTTCGACCCCAATGTAAACTGCGTAACGGTACCTCAGAAAACCACACAGGCATTATGATTGTTGTATTTTTAACCTAATTCTGCAGCCTCAAAACCAAGTGGCTCATTTCACATTTGAAACTTCTATGTTGCAAACACATAGACTTAGTTTGTGTTTGAATAAAAGTCTAATCATCTTCACATACAGGCTAATATTTTTTTAACTGAACCAAACTGTTACTATTAAGCTGCACATAGCTGTAAAAGACAATGACGGTTTTAGTAAACTTTGAATAGGGCGGTTCATTTAGCTCTGTATTCACCAGCTCTTTGTTTGCTTCAAGCACTAAAACCCCTTGATTCATTTTAGGAAAATATCCTGGTTTGGGCTACTGGAATACATTTTAAAAGTAACCTTCCCATCACTGCATGCTCAGTGCCCAAGTGCTGTGTCAGCTAATGTGATGTTTGTTGCACCTTTCCACTTACTTGCTTGCTTTTCTTTAAATATTGATGCCTCTTTCTGAGATCCTTTCAAAATGAATATGCAGTAAAAAACAGCTTTGAGAAATTAGATCATTAAATAATCTGTAAAAGGTCAAAATACAAAAGATTACAAGAGCTTTGCTTTTCTCAGTTTCCATTTTTGGAAAAATCACTTAATAACGGATTAAAATAGCCTTATTTTACAGCAGGTATTTTAAATGCTTGTAGAAAGCATGGGCTTAGTGTCACATCCTCATTATCATCATGGTGTGACAGTAACTCAACATGCATTTCAGCAGAACTCTGAAGCTACAGCAGCTAAATTAAATTCAGTCTCTTTTTTTTTCATTTTCATTTGTGATTTTCGATTTTCCCGTTAGAATTTCCAAATTTTCATTTTGAAAAAGATCAGCACAAGTAAAATAGAACCCTTGCTGTGTTTAAGTCATAAACCTGAGCATGAGCACTAAATATTTCCTCACATAGTGTGAAGTGAGACAGACAGTAGGCACAAAACATCGACGATTGTTTTAGGTAAACATTTGCAAAAGCTGCTGCAATCCTTCTGGTAGGGACTGAATACTCCAAAATTTTACAGTTTTGCTTTTGTTTACTTTTTTTATTTGCAGGTTTGGAAACTTGCTGTGACATTAAACAGCATGGAGCTCGGTGTTATGGATCTTTAGGTGGAAATGTGGACATCCAACTGATGGACAATACCTCAAAGACACCAAAATACCAATTGATGAAAAATTCATTAAAAATACTAAATGTCAGAAATAATAAAGTTCTTCCTAATGCTGAAGGACAAAGATTTGTCTTTTCTCCCAGTATTGGAACATATAGGATTCCTAACATGAGCAGGAATGACAGTGGTAATTATACCCTTCAAACCTTTGATTCAGATGGAAGAGCATCAGGCGAGTGGACTTTACAGTTGTTTATTCAAGGTAATTCCTTTTAATTAATAGAAATGTAATATTGCTTTAGTAAGCTTTAGAATTTTCTGCTTTTGCTGTTTTTCATTAAAGGCCAACTTAAAGACTTAACTCATCTGTATGTGTTTCTCTCAGCTCCTGTGTCCTCTGTCCTGCTGGTCTCAGAGTGTCTGTCCCAGGGAGAGAGGAGGGCGTCCTGCTCCTCTGAGGGAGGGGACAGTCTTCAGTACAGCTGGACTCTGAATGGACGCACACTGACAGATGCTGAGCTCCTTTCTGTAAATAATGAGACTAACATTATTACCCTGAAACAGCACGTCGCAGGACATCTGGTCTGCTCAGTCAGGAACAACGTCAGTAATGTCTCCAAAGAGGAGAGAATATCTACCTGTGGTGAGTGAGAACGTGATGAAAAAAGGTTGATAATTAGTTTTTGTTGATTATTTGTACTTTCATAAATCCTCAGACTGTTTGAGGTACATTCAATTAAAATGAGCAATCAGTAAAACAGTGATATCACATCAGTAAATCAAGTGGTCAGCGGTAATGGTATATTAGTAAATTAGTAAAAACATGCATTTGTTTACTTGTTTGTTTTTTATGTCATTTTATTTCAGAAGCAGGTATTTTGCAAGTGATCGGTGGTGTTCTCTTAGCACTGCTAATTTTATTAGTTATTGGTATAGCAATCATCTTTGATCAGAGGAGAAAACAAAACTACAAACCTACAAAAGAAAAAGGTACAAAACCTCATTTTTACTTCACTCAGAAGTATCATAGTTTTGCTAAGACTGTGTTGATGCCGCTTTCATGTAAATTCAGAAATGGATAATAAAGGCATTGTGTTTGTGATTTTTAGTCAGAATCAGAAATGACAGTGAAAATCAGAAGTCAAACTAATGTTTTAATTTGATCTTACTACTCTGCAGACGAAGAGGATGACCAAGTGGAGCTCAGAGCAGCAGTGAATTTGCAGGCCGAGATTGAGCTGGAGTTCGATGTCGAGATTGAGAGTGAAGATGAAGATGAGGGTGAGGGCGAGGGTGAGGCAGAGGCAGAGGCAGAGAAAAAGGTGGAAGTGGAGTATGCCCAGGTCAAGTTTCCAAAGCAACCTCGACACACTCAACCAACAGGAGATAATTATTTATATGCAACAGTCCGTAAAATGAGGTGATTTAAATGGTCGGTGTCTTTATACAGACTGCACCACTGAAGGTCCACATGAGGAGGTGACATCAAGACACTTAAAGACACTTTTAATTATCAGGCAAATACACAAAGCTCAGCTGATTAAAACAGAGCATCAATGCATCCAGTTTTAGGTTCCTTCCGTGTTTAATTACAAGCAATATGTGTGTTGTCTGCATTTGCATTGTGTTAAAGCTCTGATAGAATTAAGGTCATGATTGTAGTCATCCTTTAAATGAAAATGATTAAAGTAAAAAGTGTGGTGAACATTTCTATGAATTTCTGTGCAGCAAAAACTTGAAACAGTGATAAAGCATCTATGTAAATAAGGCCCAGCAAAGGCTCTTTAGACTGCTGGCAAGTCTATAGATATGCAACAGAAAGCATCATCTATTGTAGTATGACAGTATGGCATGGCAGCTGCACGGCACAGGACAGAAATGACATGGCCAGGGTAGTGAGAACAGCACATGGCACTGTGGGAAATCTTCTCCCAGATCTGGACTCTGTGTATGCTTGCTGTGTCCAGAAGAAAGCCAGCTGCTTTGCTGCAGATCCCACGCACTTGAGTAAATGACTGTTTGTCCGTCTGCCTTCTTGAAGGTGGTTTAGGACTAAGCACTAAGCAAAAAGCATTAGACTGAAGCACACTTTTTCCCCTAGAACAATGAACTCTATCACCCCCTGTGCATACACATACACACACACACACACGCACACACACACACACACACACACAGGACAACTGCACTTTGGAACATGTAACTACAATGCTACCGTATTTTCCTGTTCTGTATATTTATATATTATGTATCTTTCTGTGCTTTGTATACTAGTTGGTATTAAGCTGACCACATGCAATTCCGTTATGTGACTGCATAATAAAGGAAACAACAAAGGATCTTTGACTCATTTAAATCTTTGAATCAGCCATTCAAAACAATGGACAATGCACAACAGAGCTGTAGGTGAAAGTTCAGGCAGGGTGGAGAGGGTGAAGATGAGTGTCAGGGTGATTTCTGAAAGAAGGGTATTGGAGCTAGAATGAAAGGGACGGTTTCCAAGATGGTAGTAAGACCTCCTATGATGGATGGAGTGCTGATTTGGAGACAGAAACAAGAGACAAAGCTGGAGGTGGCAGAGTTGACAATATCAAGATTTACAGTTGAGTATCCAGCATGCACAAGATTATAAGTAATTATATCAGTGGGGCAAGAAAAGTAGATTTAGAATGTAAAAAAGTAAACTGTGAATTTGTTTTAAGAATAAAGTGCTAACAAAAATGTTATCTGTGATGTGTGATGTACTTCTTGATCTGGTCCCTGAACATACCTGCAAAGGATGCAGCGTTTCCAGCTCAGAGTAACTCTTTATTACAAACTATGAACAATGCTTCTGATGTTGTCCACTCAACTCAACTGGTGTAGGGCACCAGCTCCTTACTGTTAGCTTATCTTCTCTGCCACACACACCCTGGTCACAGCATACTCCTGTGTACTGTGAGACCAGGACGTTGCAAGTGTTGATCTTAAGCTTTAATTCACTATAAATAAATTCATGTAAATAAATTGTTGTGGGAACTTATGAAGATGTGTTTTCACTCAAGGAGTCAAGTTTGTAAAAGATTGATCTCCTAGCTGCAGGTAAATGTTTGGTCTCCCAAAGAGAAAATCTGACTGGCTCTAGTGATGTTTTCATTATTATTATTTTGGATCTGCTTGAATAAAATACTGCTTATAATTTGTTACCAAAATGAACATTATAAGTTCAAAAATATTGGCTGGTTCCATTTTATAAGCTATAGCTGTGAGTATGTGGAAACTTGTGTGTTTATTATCAACTGGTAAGGATTATTTCACAAAATCAAAATATGTTTACTTGACAAGGATAACAAGTTGAAATCGCAGAAGGGAATATGCAGTTTTGATTCATCTGTGATTATAATGTCA